ACAACTCTGAAAGGTAGTGAAAGCCTCTAGGATGTACCTATAAGCACTTATGCATTATATATATGCATATATGTATCTATACATTTTTGGCAAAGGAGATGATATTCAAAATCAAAGAAGACATCTCACTTGAAGCTAATTTAATTCATTTTAACATTATAAGAAAGCTAAAATTCGCTTTAACTAACCTTTCAGCCTCCTGATGATAAACCACTGTACTCCTTTTGAACTGTATTTTGTTTGCTTGGCAAGTAAATGCTGTTCCGCACTATTAAACCTTTTAGGTAGTTTCATCTTCAGATTTCTCAAATACAGAGCTAATAAGAAGGTGCTTTGATGCTGTTTTACTTTAAACTATAGCCTCGAGGCGTTAAAACGCGCAAAAGGTAACCTAAAAAGTAAATTGCCATGAGCAAGGCGCACCCTCACTTTCAAAATCGCCCCGACCCTCTACAGTGCACTGCGTGGCAGCAGAAATCGCCTGTTTCTGTGCAGAACTGCGTCCGGTTGGCAGTCCCTGGGGTTCTGAACCCGTGCCACTTTACCAGAGGGATAAGGAGAGGGGAAGCACTTTTAAGTTTAAAAGCCCTGGGATCCCTTGGGGGAGGAAAGAGACAGGAGGTAGCGAAGGCAAAGCCTCCCAAAAGTTGACTAAGGAAACAAATACAAGATGGAAAGTGAAGATCAAGAAATGGCAACTTGTTAAAGCCGTTGATAATAAAACTTCTGCATAAGGTGTGGCCAGTGGCACTCGAGAGCCTGCTCAGAGCCTCTAAGGCTGATTTCAAACCTCGGTCTCAGCTTACACTTTGGAAGGAAAATACCCCCACCCCCTACCCCGAAGTGCACTCCTGTCTCGCACACACTTGATCCCCCTACACGCACGCACACATACACACACAAGACCTTCTAGCTGAATGTAAGCAAATGGAACAACTGAAACGTATCTTTTCTTTAAAACTGGTGTTTTAAAGTCTTCCACTCAAAGGAGTCACAGTTCCTCCCATTTAGGTACATTTTCAAAAGAAACGCAAGCCCCAGGGAGATACCTCTGCCCAGAGTCAAATGGATCCTACCTGCTTTTTAAAATACCTGTATTTCCATTGCTAACTCATAATACACATTTTAAGTAGGATAGTTGGGCTCCAATCTCAGCCTCAGAGCTCCTTGTCACATTCTGCTTCTCTTTCTTTCTCTTTCATCAGAACGCTTTGGTAAAGTCGCATACGTGATAAAAATTAACATAAATCATTATTAGTTATTAGGATTTGCTCTAAATTACACTGTGAATATCGCACCAGCCCCATCTGCCGCCCCTGCTCTCGCAGCAATAGATTGCAGATAAAATAAATGTCCTTACCCCATTAGAAGGTTCCTGTCTCTGTAGCCAAAAGCCAAACAAAAGCAATAAATACCGGGCTTTTCCTCTCCACTATTCAGCTGTGACTCTTTTCATCAGCTCTTCCCCTAGAAAAGCTCGATAGCTGCCTGAAAATATTGCATTTTATATCACCAAAGGGCGATTAATATTGCATTAACTGTATTTAACATTTTTTAAGCGTGAGTAATCTACAGTGAAGTTCATTTCTGTTAATAAGTACAGGGGGTATCAGAACTACTGCAGACCACTTAAAATATCCGTATAAACACATTATTTGTCTCACACTTTGTATTTTTTAAAATAATGTTAGAGTGTAGCGCGCGATGTTTGAAGTGGAAGAAGCCTTGCTAATGGTCTGCTTAAAATATTCTGACACTGACTGGAGACAGCCAGGTCCCTGCCTTCATTAAATGTTTATTGTCAACACTTGGCGGAGGCAGGGATGGGGAGAAGGGTGGGGGGAGACCGGAGTAAGTGAATTTCCACGGCTGGAAATTGTCAATACTTTGTTTTATTCTGGTCCATGCCTACAAAGTTCGTACACATTATACTGCACTGAAGCCAGGCGACAGAGTTACCAAACTTTTGTCTGCATTTCGTTGTACTTAATCAATGCAAGTAGTCTGTCTCTCTTCCTTTGGCCACGTCTCTTTCCAGGCTCTCTCTTAGCACCTTTAGTTTCCCTTCTCCTTTTCCTATCCCCTTGCCTATCTAAATTAGAGAGAAGCCACCTCCTGGACACTGGGGCTTGGGGCAGGAAACGGAACAGGGGCGCTTTCCGCCCCATCCGTGGGTTTGCAAGAGCCGGACTCTGGTCTCACTCACTGCTCATACTTTGCCAGCTTCTCTCTGACGGAGATTTTTCTCCGTTTTGCGATCCACGATTCTACTGAATTCTTCCGGAAACAAGCCCAGAGGCCAGCCCTTCTCCCGCCCCAGGTATAAAGGCGTGCCTAATAAATTCAGATTTGTAGCAGGGCATTGTTGGTGTGCACCTGGAACGACAACAACAAAACCCAAGATCTTACTGCTCCCAAGGTTTTTCCAAAAATATAAAAACCCAGTTTTGAAAGTTTCGTGGTGTTCAAGGTGTCTGTTGACTTAGGCAAACTGTAGAAAGGGGAGTATTTTTCACCTCTGTGAGTTACTGGTCCTTTCCCTTTTCTCTCGGAACATCCTCAAAGGCGTTTGCAGGGTGGCGGCGGACTTCGGGGGTGCCTAATTACCAGCTGCGGAAGCCCTTCTCACCTCGGGCGCGAGTTGGGATGTGGGGGGACTCGGTGCACGCAACGCGCATGTGTGGGCCTGGCGCGCTCCGTGCGCGCTCCGTCCGCCCCACGCTCCCCGCGCTCCGCGCTCCGCCCGCCACCCCTGCGCAAGCGCGCCAGGAGCCCAGGCCTCGGGCGGTTGACCCCCTGGGGTCCTCCGTGGCCTAGCGAAGTGCCTGCTCGGCGAGAGGAGCTTCGGCCTCCGGCAGCTAGAAGCCCACGGCTCGAGCTACTCCGAGCAGGGGGCCGAGGGGCGCAGACCAACCGCGCGGTGGTCGCTTGGCCGCAGCTCGTGCGCTTGGCGCTCTGGGATTCCCCGCGCGAACGGCCCCGGGTGGGTAGGTGTTTCCATAGCGGAGCGAGAATCTTGCACCGGTTGGGAGAGGGTGGGACCCTTCATGGCTGCAAATTCTGACCCAATCAGCTCCACGTGTGGTTTCAGAGGGCACCCGCCAACCCACCTCCCCGAAGTCCGGTTGCTGGACAGGGAGCAGCCCCACGAAGCTGCCTCCGAAATAACTCCCCGAGTCGGAGGATCGCTGGGCCGCTCAACTTTCGAGGCCTTTCCGGGCCCGTACCCCGCCTACAGAACTACCAGATTTCGGGGAAAGGGAGGGCTGCCCCTCTCCCATCAAGCTGACTTAACAATTACGAAAGTTTTTAATTAGCCTCTTGTTATCATTCATTTTATTAATTTCCAGAACTCTCAGACCATGAATTATTCAAAGAGCAGGGCTACCCGAGCGGGGTCGTCGCGCGCCCCCGCCGCACGTTCCCAGCTTGGCAGGGCCGCGCCGCTGGCCCGCTGCCCCCAGGGCGTGAGCCGGCCCCGTGCAGCCAGCCGCGGTGGCGCAAAGGTTTGATCAAATATTAAATAACGTAATTATTGCGACAAGACTTATCTCGCAGGTGGAAAAGAGGGTCCCCATGAGAATTAGAATTCGGCTGCTATTTTTAAAAAATCAATTAAGCTTGCGGTCTCCTTTGAAACCGCCGGCGAGGACGGTGTGGCTCCCATTGTGGGGCTAAGACTGCGGCGGCAATAACACCAACAAACAGAACCACACCGGATAGTAATTGTGGTCATCACCTGTGACAACCCGCTGGCCACCAAGGCAGTTTGAATGAGGTGGGGAACGCTGCTTTGTAGCCAGGGTCAGAACTTAAAATTCAAACTTCACATGTTAACTAGACGTTGAAAGGCTATCCATGTGCAAGATGAACCAAAGATGCTTCACGCAAGTTCTATGGCCGGAGAGGCCTGGGGCGACAGGGCTGGAGGCTGAGGGTAGCAGCTGGCCAGGTGAGTCCTTGGGCTAGGGCGCTCTGTCCTTTTGGCGTGGCCACGTGTAGTAATGGGACCAAACCAGTCTTAATATCACAAAAAAGTAAAAATCGATACAATCTCGGCAGTGGGTGCCTACGGTTTATTTATAAGAATGTAGTTGAAGTTGAGAGTAATTTCAGAACACGCATTAAATAAAAATCTATTCAGAAGTTAGTTACTGTGTCTTGAGGACATCATTTCTTAGACCTACAGAAGGAGCAGGACCCCGAGCTAGAACTGGGAAAAAGAGAAACAAACGGATTGCACAAACGTGGCAGGTGCATTTTATGGTTGTTTTTTTTTTTTTTTGGCCTTTCCAACTCCACCACCGACTGGATTTCTGAGAAGCTGAAATGCAAACAGAGCATTGTTTTTATGCTCTGTTTATTTTGAAATTATTCTTTAAAAGAATCGGGGGGGTCACACATTTTACTATTTCCACTCAACTGACTGGTGCTGGAATCCTTGCTCTTCAGGAGAAAACTTTGAAAGGCCAACTACTGCTGAGTGGCAAGCCTTTGCACTCCTTTCAGGAGTACATCTGTTTGTTTCGTTGAAGTTGTCTCAGAAAAGGCTTATTATTCCTTTCTGCAGTCATAGATTCACTCACCAGATAGCAAAGCATTTCTTGCTTTGCACAGTTTCCTAATACACAAAATAGGAAACTGTGCAAAGCATGCACTTTCATGATGTTTTATTAACATAATATTGTCTTTTATTTGGTAAGGATTTTTTTTACTTAATACAAAACAAATGCTTAAGTTCTTACTATATACATTGTCATCATTGTATAATATAAAATTTTTTTACCTTCAACATTTCCATGTGCGATGGTTTAAAAAAAAAACAGCCTTAGTAAATCTTTTTGTTTGTTCACTTCTGGTTCTCTAACAAGGAAATCGGTCATACTTTTCTATAAAATAACGTGGGTTTTTTTTTTTACAAATGCATTTTATTAAAAACTTTTGATGACATTTCAAGTCAATAACAACAAATCAATTTGATGGAAGAGATCTATTTTTAAAAATACCTCTAGTGCTTTTCTTTAAACATTAACAACTGTTTAAAATCACAGCTTTTTAAATGTATTATTCTTTTTTGAACACCAAGTGTTTTCTTTCACAGATTTGCCGGTAAAATTAAGAAAGATTTGGGTAAATTAGTATGACGTCAGACGATATAATCCCAGCTATTAAGAAACTTTGTACATTTGGCATCTGATCTAGTCCCAAGTCACCAAAGAATCTCTTGTCCCTCTGGAGCAGTAGGTGGCACACTAAATGTTCCAAATGAACAGAGGCATTTGACAGGGTGGCTGGACAGATCAGTGGATGGTTTTTATATTTGTTGACTTCCAAAGAAAATTCATTTAGTTACAACATTTTTTCGGTTAGAACAACATACACAAACCTCAGAATGCCTCTGTCCTTAAATCTGTATTTAAATATTTTAGGGGTGCCTGGTTTATTATTTTCCACCACTCTAAAGTGAGGGCTGTGGTTTAAGAATTTCTGCAGTTAAAAAAAAACTTTGATAAACACAGGCAGCTAATACAGAATTCATTTTATTCAGAGCACCGCTTTTCACATGAGTTATCTGAAAGTCAATTCTGATTCAGCAGAAAAATACAGCTTTCTCACCTTTTCCCCTCATTTCATCCCCCTTTCAACATCCTCCCCTGTATTTTTGGTTAAATTGAGTCTCATTTGTTGACCGGTTCTACCAGGACTTAGCCCAGTATAAACACAAAAATGCACCCAAATCATATAGCTGCTCTTCTTTCAGTTATGTTTTATTTGTAAGTGTACTGGGACATATCCCCCTGTTGTATTTTGGCATACAGGAATAGTTCTGATAGAAGTGAGGAGGGGTAATAGAGCAAAGACATAACCAAGGAGAAAGCTCAGCAGACATACATGGACAGGTAGATCAATCCGTGAGATATTTCAGGATTAACACTGGCAGATTGTAACCACTGTGTGTGTGCATTAAATAAAATATTTACAATAATTTTTTTACTTTTCCTCTAAATACAAGAATATGACAAAAATGTTGTGTTTTCGGTGAAAACAGGCAGTAGACTGTGAAATCACACTATCCACAAAACGGTCTATCAGAAAGCTAGCCCAGTTTAGTGCTGTTTCAAATGCATAGAATGTTTGCGCTGCAAACAATGATATACAACATAATTAAATAATGCCTAACCAGAGTGAGACCTAATTGTGTTTCTTTCTGCATCTTTCAGATCATGCATGATTTCAGTCTTGTCAAATGGCAAGTTTTTTCCTTTTCTCAGTTTCGTTTCCAATGTTTTAGTTCTTTTTATTAAACGATGGCAGTAAACCATCTCTACAAGAGATCAAGAGTATCTTGTGCACCAAGCAAGCATTTTACCTCACCACCTTCAACTGTCTCATTTTTTACTCATCAGCAGTTCATAAAGTACCTTGATTATTACTATGAAATACTATACATGATTTTCTATTTGGGAGACTGATAGTGCAAATTAAAGTTCTTACTACCCAACATTTATCCCCAGCAATAAATTACTTTTTTGACTAATAATAATAATGAAACACAGTTGTTCTGTTTTCCCCCCTAACATGCAGACCCTCTTGAAACAAATGGAGGGCTTTGAACCTGTCTTCCTCTCATCTGGGATTTAGTTGATTCTCACAGCCAAGTCCTGCTCCAACTGAAAGCAGAAACTTCTCAGTATTTCAATGATTTCATGTTCTCCACGAGAGAAGGAAAGGGGACCTAGAAAAGCAAGATGTGTCTTGTTCTGTGGAGAAAATGGGACAAAGTATCTATCCTATGTGTCTCCCACCCCATCAATCTATTTTTAAGAAGGAAAAACAATAAACCCAATTCAGTAGGTAGTTTAACATAAACCACATAGAAAAATACGTGAAAGGGCAAGCAAGTTCTATGGGTGAGGGGGAAAAAAGCTTATTTGGAAACAGTCTGTTTTCTAGATCTTAGTTACAAGAGCAAAAACGGAAAGAGAAAAACTTTGTTAAAATTATTTTGTTTTCCTAGAATAAAATATTTATTTCGGAGCCCCTGAATTCTGCTTTTTAGTCATCTCAAAGACTGTGCTCCTTTCTCCCTAAATACCCGGACCCAACCGGGACCAGGCCACAGTAGTACAGACTGGTCCCTGGAAAAACCTTGGACCCCCACCTAAACAGGCAGCCACCCCTCCTCCCGCCTTTCAGCTGCACCCCCACTCACTTTCTGGCAATGGAGAGCAGCCATCGGAGTCTCACTGGAACTGAGAAAATAAATCAAACAGCATGGATGGAGTGGAGGTGAGACTCAGAGGGAAAAATTAAATTAGAACAACTAGCTTCGCTATCCAGAATTTCACCTTCTGGTTCGTTTGGTTTTCGGCTTTTGACTCAGTACCTGTGAGTGTGTAGTGTTGGGCAATGGTAATACTAGTGGTGCTCTCTTTTCTCTTCCTTTAGGGGGAAATGAAGCTGCAGAATACGGCTACCGGAGTTAAATTTCTAAAGCATTTTTTCTTTTTATTCTGTTTTGTTTTAGTTCGTCTTTATTTGTCTAGTTTTTGGTGGTTGGTGGGTTTGTTTTTGTACATAGTTCCTTGGTCCCCAGGAGATTTTGACAAGGGTCTCTGGTCAAAAACAGCCCATTTCCCTACATTTCCCAAGTCTCCCCCCACCCTAACCCCCAGAACCATCCTGCTTCTCAAAAAACCTTCCTCTAATCTCCACTTTCCTTCCCCCAGTCCCCGCTCACTCCACTGCTCCCGCTTCCCTCCCTCCCTCCTCTCTTGGGTCCACACCCAGCACCCCAGTCCCATAAGCAGAGGAACGGAAAGGGCAGGAAGAGCAAGGACGGGGCAGAGGAGAGTGAGCGAGGAAGGAAGACCCGAATGCAGGCAGGATAGCGGATACTCCAAATCCGGGGCTGGGGGGATGCAGGCCCGGGGGAAGCCCCCGCAGTGCCCAGTCAGCTCCCCGCTCTGACCCTCCCGGCACCTCCCACCCATCTCAGTAAGTGGCGGAGAATTTCATCCGCTTCTGCTTCTGTCTCTGATTGCAAAACCACACCCGCACCACATTCTTTTTGAGGTCCAGTTTCTCCGCGATGGCGGCGATCTTCTCGGACGAGGGCCGGGGTTGTACGGCGAAGTAGGCCTCGAGGGAGCGCTTTTCGGGCGCTGCGATGGAAGTCCGCTTGCGCTTCTTCTCGCCGCCGTTGAAGAGCTCGGGCTTGTTCATTTTCTCGCGCTGGGCACCCTCGGCCTCCTCGAGCCACGCCTGCAGGATGGGCTTGAGCGCGATCATGTTGTTGTGTGAGAGCGTGAGCGACTCGAACCTGCAGATGGTGCTCTGGCTGAGCGAGCCCACGCCCGGGATCTTGAGGTTGGCCAGCGCTGAGCCCACGTCGGCCTGCGTCACGCCCAGCTTGATGCGCCGTTGCTTGAAACGCTCCGCGAACGCCTCCAGCTCGCGCGGGTCCGTGTCCGAGTCGCAGATGGACGCCAGGCCCGCCGCGCCCACCACGGCCGCCGCCGCCGACGCCGCCGCCACCTGCCCGGCCGCTGCCGCTGCGGCCGCCGCCGCCGCACCATGGTGCGCAGCCGCCGCCACCAGCCCGGGGTGCGGCAGCCCCGACGGCATGTTCATGGCGGCTGCCGCCGCTGGGTGCGACAGGTGGCCCAGGCCGTGCATGTGCGGATGCGGGTGCGCCGAGCCGCCCAGCAGCCCACCGCCCGGGCCGCCGCCGCCCCCTGGGCCGCCGCCGCCGCCGCCCCCGGGGCCGCCGCCGCCTGGGCCGCCGCCGCCCCCTGGGCCGCCACCGCCCCCCGGACCGTCGTGGGCACCACCGCCGCCGCCCGCCGCGCCCGCGCCGCCCGCGCCGGCCATGAGCGCGAGCGAGGGCGACGAGATGTGGTCCAGCAGGTCGCCGGGCTCCAGCGCCTGGTGGTGATGGTGGTGGTGGTGGTGGTGCGCCAGCGGCACGGTGGACGTGGACGTGCATGGCACGCTGTTCATCGTGTGATACGTGGCGTCCGGCTTGAACGGGTGGCTCTTGCCCTGGGACACCGCGATGTCCACGGCCGCCAGCGCCTCGGCCCGCGCCAGCAACGTTTCGTCTAGGCTGGCGAAGAGGTTGCTCTGCAGCTGCAGGCGACACAAACCAAACCAAAGAAAACCCACAAAACCAAAAAAGCCAAACACAAAACAAAACAAAACACACACAAGCCGGGAAGCACAAGCAAAGGGCAAACACAAAGCAACCAAAGTAACAACGGGGGTGGGGGTTAGTGGAGACCGGTAAACACAGAATGGGGGACACATTGGGGACAAGACGGGGAAACAGATGAGAAGGGACGGCAGTGTGGGGAGGGGTGCAGAGGCAGGAGAGAGGGAAACAGGAACACGTTCCGGGAGCGGGCGAGGGAGAAGAAAAAGGAGGGGAAAAGAAGAAATGGAGATGTAACTCGCAGCTGGGGACGCGTGTCACGCACCCGAACACGCACCGAGACAGCCTTTCCGAGGCATGAAATTAACAGAGAAAGTGGAGGGAAGTCGACAGTCACGGTCCTACTGTTCCCCACTCTGCTCACAGGCGCCCGATACAGAGGCAGAGCCGACGGGAACACGAATTTAAGCGCCACTGTACAGAACGTGCCTCGCAGCGGGATTCCTCTAAAAACCCCTGCCCGCAAATCCCCGCACCGGGACCTGTGCAAACACCAGCACCCGACATGCAGCCTCTCGGGACCGGGAGAGCGCGGGGCGCTTACCGGCGGCGTGGGCAGGCAGGCCCGCCGGATGGCCTCGGAGCTGGAGTGCAGCGAAGGGTACTTGTGCTCAGGGAGGGTGGGATGCATGGCAAAGTGAGGCTGCTTGCTGTTCATGGACATCATCTTGATGGCTTGGCATGTAAATCCACAAACAGTCCGAAAGTCCGCGGAAAAGTCGCACGCGGGCTTCCCCAGCCTCCCTTCGGAGGCTGCAGCCGCGGCCGGGCGCGGAGGCGGCGGCCGCGCCGGGGCTGCTGCTGCTCCTGTTACCGTTGCTGCCGCCGGGCGCTCCCTTTGACCGCGCAGAGCGCCGTGCACTGGCCTCCCGATCCCACTTCTCCGAGAGCTCTAGCCCAACACGCCGGCGGATTGCACTCCTCTTACACCTGAGCCCCACTTCTCGCGGCCGGTCCGGTAGCTATCGCGAGATCTCGCGGCCCCACCGCGCTGACAGGCATCAGCTGTCTCGGTCTGTCAGACGCGCGCTCTCCTTTGCGGCGCCGTTCGTCTGCGCGCGCGCGCGCCCTCGCCCTGCTGCCACCGGCGCGTGGGAGCGGCTCTTATAGTGACCACTAGCAAGGACAGCGCAGGTGATGCACCTGTAGCTACCCGAGCATGCGCACTGCACGCCTCACCTTTCCTACCGTGGGTCTGTAAAGATCAAAAGGGCTAAGCTATTGTCTGAGGGTAGGGCACCTTTTAGGTGGAGAAAGTCACGCTCCCAAGCCCCTCGGTAGTTTCCCTCCCTGCCCGTCACCCCTAGCCCAAGCCCTGATTATATGCGCGTTACTTGGGCACACCTCCTCTACGAGATGTCTAACAAGCTGTTATATAATGTATACAGCGAGGCATTTATATGTTAAATTATGCCCGCTCATTCCTCTGTATACAGTATAAATAACAACACAGAAATGCAGAAGGTGCTGCAAGAACCTGTTCTTTTCAAGGCTTATAAATAGGTTCCTGGAGAATAATCGCGGTGACAGATATTTGTTTGAAGTAGTCAGACGCTATTGATTTCCATATAATTTAATTTCCTCCGCATACTTTGTTGTGAATATAACTGTGTCAGGCACCGACAGTGACAGCCACTTAGGAGCCACAAGGAGCGTGTGCTTTCTACTCGGGAACGGCCGTTGAAATGGAATTGTGCATTTCTCTTATTGTTTGTTTCCTTTAACCGTGTACAAACCCGCGTTTCAAACGAGCTACGGGTGATCTGAGGCTTCTAGTAATCAAAAGGAAAATAGTTAACAGGGTGTAGTTGGGATCCTTTCCTTTCCTCAGCGTACTCACTCACTCACTCACTCACTCACTCACTCACTCACTCACTCACTCACTCTTTATGCTGGAAACTCCAGGAAAAGGAAATCACTTCAGAGGAAAGGAAGTAAGACGTTGGAAAAAGAACTTTCTTTTCCCTTCCATCGTTTCAGCTTGTTTGCCTCTTAACTCTGCTTGCTTATATATATATATATATACATACACACATACATATTTTTCACTAAGAGAAGATCAAAACAGTTTATAGAAAAGAGTGATTAATATATTAATTCAAATCAGTTTGAAAAAACAGGGTCCAAGTTCTGATCCCTATTTATTTACTTATTTATTTAGAAATGAAACCCTAATAATAATAATAAATCAATTAGCCAACTTGTTACATGGCCCTTATGTGGCAGGCAGATCAAGAGCCTCCCTGGGGTACCAGAGTTCAGGTACCTGAGCCCCCGGGGACTTAGCGCTTGCCCGGGGTGATAATGATAGCCCAGATGTTATCACATCTGCGTCTAGAGAGCTGGAGAGCAGCAAAGGGCTGCCTATGGAAGGCAGAGATCAGATAAATAATCTTTCTTGTCCCTCCCACACCAAGGAGGTCTATATTTCCACCAAAGAGCATTTCTATAAACCTACATGTGAGTTCATGAATCCTTTCTTTGGATAAACGCGTGCATATTTAACATTAAATCAACCCACTTACTACTCAGATTCCAGGAAGAACCCACAGGCGTCATGGCTTTTCTTTCTTTTCTTTTCCCTTTAACTACTCTCCCCCGCCCCGCAACACACACCTTACAGCCAGAGAGAGGAGTAAGAAAGATGTTCACTTGCTGGTGCGAGAAGGAGCCGCGTTTCCAGCCATTACATGGTCCTGTGGGAGTGCTAAATGCAATTTTATCTCTACGGGGATTGGACGTTGAGCAGGACATCGCTGGAGGGAGCGAGTGATTCTTAACGGTAGTGGTAGCACCGAGTGTCCACGCTTAACCTCATCCTTCCTGTCTCCCGTAGCGCTGGTTCCCTAAGCTCTCCCTGGGGGAGGGGAGAGGAAGGATCCCTCAAAGGGAGAACGCCTGGATCCTTCCTGCCCTCCAGGGAATTGCTGGCCTTTAGGGACCCCGAGGGTGCAGGGGAGACAGAAACTCAAATAGCATAGGTTTAGGGCAAGGTAGACCCCAAGAGAAGAGAGGTGAGCCCCTTCGTACCTAAGTTCGTCTTCGTTTACCCTCTGACAGGGGGAGAGTACCAGTAACCCCAAGGGAGAGACATCCCCCTGAGGTCACGAGTTCACCTACCTTTGAAATGCCTCTTCTAGTTCACTTCTCTTTGGGCAACCGTAGTCCCTGCCAGGGGTCCAGAACTCTACCCAGAATTTCTAGCTTTTTCTGGGCTAGAAATATGAGAGTTGTTGGTACAATTCCCAATCCACCTCCAACCAATAGATTGGAAGCCCATTTAGGGCACGTTCATGTCCACAACAGTGCTTAGCCAGGTGCTTGTCACAAAGTAAAAATGGTCCATAAAATAATGCATGTGCGTAGGAATGAAGAGAAGGCAGATGGGGGGCCAGAAGTAAAAGCCAGAGAGAGTTTCAAAAGCCAGGGCTAATGGGGACAAAAAGGAAGCTCACTGAAATTCAGGGTCTCCTCCTCCCCAAAAAGAAAATGGTGACTGAGCCACACAGGTGTGCTGTCCCCATGCAGAGCTGTAAAGCTTCATTCCAGCCTGTTCTTTTTCAGAGGTCAATTATTTCATCCTTCTTTTACTTTCTCCTTCATTCCTCAAGTGCTTGCTAAGCACTAGTCCTCCAGGGCAGGGCACTGGAGGTAGAATGAGGTATAAAATATGGGCATCTGCCCTTGGGAAGTGGCAGTCTGAGACTGGGGCAGCTATAGGTGAAAAGCTGTTGATTGCACAGGTGTGACAGGTGAGATGAGAGGGAGTTGTACAGAAATATGGGGTGGGTGGGAGTTATTCTGCCACATCGCTGCTGGGCCTCAGCTGCAGGATAGACAGTAGGGCACGGTGGCAGATCTGCAGGAAGTTCCTTGGACCTTATGGAACGTTTCCCCTGCTTACTCCAAAGCAGTGAAGGGAAAGGGTGGTGGATGGGGCGCATCCCACCAATATGTCACTGCTTTGTTTTCCCTATTTGGCAAGTGCAGTAACTAGTTGGCCCTTGCTTGTGCTAATGAAGCCCACATGGGGTCTGAGCCTTGGCATAGATTCCCAGGCAGGTTTTCTCCTCTTCTCCTTCTTGTTTAATGACAAACACATATTCCTTCTCCCCACCCCCACCCCCATCTCATAGCTTTGCATTTTATCAAGAGGGGATAATGAATGCACAGCTATTGATTTCCAAGAATTTCCGCCCCCAGGGATAGGGAGTCTATCATCTGGATCAGAGACACATTTCTTTCCCCCATTAATTAATTTTCTCCTCCTCTTTTGGCAGGCCCCACTTCACATTTCCTTTGGCAGCTCCTCTTTCCTGAGCTCAGGGAGCAGATATTCATTGGTTGGAGTGGTGACCGGTGAGAGAGACCCGTGCAAGGGCCGGCACAACTGGGGAGGAACGCTCCTAGCCTTGGACCACCCTCCCCTCAACACACACACACACACACACACACACACTCTCTCTCTCTCTCTCTCTCTCTCTCTCTCTCTCTCTCTCTCTCTCTCTCTCTCTCTCTCTTTCTCTTTCTCTCTCACAGCTGGGGAGAGCGCACCTGTCAGCTGCGGCCGCCTTTCTCCTTCCAAAGGGACGCCGGTAAAGTTAACGCTGGACTTACCTGCCAGCCCCCCACCCCCGACCTCTGGGAATGAACCTGATTTATTTGTCAGGATTCAGGGACAGGGATTGGGCCTGAGGAATGTCCATTTAAGTGCGTGGAGGTTGTGTGTGTACAGGAAGAGGGGATCGGCCCCACGTTCTTGTCCGAAACCGGGGATCTGGCCCTACCTGCAAACTGGGCCACCTCGGGTTCTGGCAGCCCAAGAGAGAGCCACTCTCTGACAGCTCTACTCTCCGACGGGGTGTCACGTTTCCTTCGGTCAATTGCCCAGTTTGAAACTAGGCACGTTTCACCGTGCAGCCAGTGCCCTGCGTGCAGGGGCAGCCCTAGAGCCTAGAGAGGGCCGGGTTGTTTCCGTCAGAGTGGAGGCGCAGGCAGGGGAGGAGAATGGGGGCGGGAGGGTGCGGTTCTCCCTAGAGGGGCTGTCCTGGGGCCGTCCCGGGCCCCACCTGCTCAGCCGCTCTCCGTCTGAGGCTGAATGGAGGAGGGTACCGTGCAGTGCTAACCCCTCTCCCCCCGTCCCGGGCCGTCTTCCTTGGTGAGCTGCTTTGATCCATGGTCTCTCTTAGCGCTACCCCAGCTGCTAAGCTCTCGGACCTACCCGGCGCAGCCCGCTACGCCGCCGTACTCACTCCTTAGCGCCAGGCGCTGGCCCTCCCTCTGCACCCTCAGGGCCCACCCAGCCCAAGGCGCGAATACAGAGCCACTGGCGAATACAGCGGTCGCTGGCGGTGCTGGGTTATTTCCTAGTGGCACTGTCCTCCCTTTCTGCTCCAGCCTGGCTGCACCTGCGGCCGCTCCTCCCCTCGGTCCCCAAGGCCTGGCGGGTGAGTTATTGGGGCCATGGTGATCTCCTTCCGTAAGGCTCCCAGCCCCGCCTGCAGACTGGCTTCCCACGGAGAAGGGTCTTGAGTGCACTGGCGGTAAACCCACCGTGTTCTTTCTTCTGGGCATTTAATTCAAGTGAAACTTCCGTTGGGAACATTTTCCTGGATGTCAACCACCCCACCCCGAGATGTCGCTATGTCCTTGCGCCCCGAATGATGTGTCCCACTAAAGTTTACTGTCGGTCATTATCACTTTTGGCTTTGTGGAGATATACGTGTTTATTTCCATCCAATTCTTTCCGTGGACTTGAGGGCTACCTACCTTGTGAAAGCCCTGCGGGTGATGCAGGACAACTACGTCTCGGTTCTAACAGGCGCACGGCCTCCCCGCTCGCTACTTGCCAGAACCAGTTTCGCTGTTCAAGTGACCAGTGTTGTCCCAAGGCCACCGGCCCTTTTGGTTTAGGTCCCCGCCCCACGCAAGCCCCTTCACAACCGGAAGAATGCGCTGGTCAGAGAAGGGCTTCGAGGTCCCCGCGTTAAGAACAGCGAACAAGTCAACTCTACAACAGATACTTCTGCCCATGACACCTCGCCACGAGATTCAAGTCCTGTCGCCTTCCCTCTCCCCAGAGAGCCGCCTGCCCGCCGCTCCAACCCGGACGCGCGCACGTCCTGGGTGGAGCGTGCTGACTCGTGCAAGCCGACAGCAGAGGACCCCCCAGACCCCGATGAGGGCAGTTCCAAGGACCGAGAGGCAGGCGCCCGTCTCCCTTCGCAGGTTCAACCCTGCCTGCATGAGCAGGATTCCCAGGAGGGTGCAGAAGCCGCGGAGCAAAGCGCAGAAGCCGTGAGGCCAAACGCCGGAGTGCGAAACTGGGTCCTGTCGCGCGGCTGCAACGCTCGCCGGCGCCGCCGCCAGTCGCCCCTCCTCCCCTGCGCCCGCACAAATCAAAGCCCCTTGCGAGGGACTGGGAAATAGTTGTCTTGTCATGTAGCACATTGCCCTGATTTATTATAAAATTTTAACGAAATCATGCATATTTTAACAGCCTTTAATCACTGCATGAAAATTTAATTCATGGACTGTAGCGCGTTTAAAAAAATGAAGTGTTAATTCATTAGGATTAATTAATTTGTTAAAGGATTGTGTGCAAGGTTAAGGTGGAAAGAAAACTCTTTGTTGGTTTCGCATCTTAATCGCCAGGTTTCACTGAGTGGTAATAAAATGAAAGGAAACCGCAGAGCGGGTTGTTTCTTTGGGTGGAGACGGGCGGGACCAGCGGAGACAGCCCTCATCAGTGCGGGGAAACTCCGGCCCCAGGGGCCAGGGCGGGTCTGCCCTCTCGGGAGACCCGGGAGGGTTTGGGGGGCGGAGAGCGGTGCTGACTGCGGGAACCTGGTCAGAGTTGGCTGGAATCTGAGGGACGGAAGGGGGCTAGCTGAGAGCCGACGCCGGCCGGCCAGACTTCGCCTCCCCATCCCCTGCACAAAGATGATCCTGTGATGGAGGCTAGGTCGCGTCTTCCGGCCCTCGGAGCGTCAAGCCTCAGCTTAATGGACAGCTGATGGGCCAGACTTGCCACCTCCTGAGCCTCCCAGCGCCCAGGGAGTCTCTGTCTCGCCATCAGGCCGCCGGCCCTGGCGGCGAGGACGAGCCTGGAGTCTCAGGAGACACTCTGAGAGAGGAGGCGCAGCAAAGCCAAACTTGTAAACTCAGGATAGGGCAACTGGGAAACCTTTTTCAAAACCAGAAGCCAGGACGTTAGGGAAGGTTCCTTCAGTACCTCTTCTGAGACGTCGGCGAAATAGGTGCCCCCTTCGAGGATAGCTGAAATGCAGAAGAGACATCTTCAGCACCCAACTTTTATCCATCCTTAAAGACCTAATGCAAACAGCACCTCCGTGGAGCTGCCAGGTTTCCCCTCTGATCCAAGCAAGCTAACCCCAACTGATGTTACAAGAATCAAAATGGACCAGAAGTAGGACCTCCCTGCTCACACAGAGTGTCACTAAATGCCTAAGCCAAATCCTTGCCTTGGAGACTGGATATTTACACCCCTGAATTACAAGTGTCACACAAGACACATACTTCTTCTACACACTCGGTTAATCCAACTAGCATTTATTAGAGGGCTCTGCTCCCTGTTGAGACACAGTAGACTGAGGAATCAATCTTGCTTCAATAAGTGGAGCTTCTATTCAAGGTATTCTAACCTGTCTCTGTCCTGTAGAACTGAAGATATCACCCTAGCCTGAGCTCCAGATGGGTTCTAAAAAATCTGCATCTTAGTAGATGCTTCCCTCAGAGTGGGATTCCGAGAATTAGGCAATAAATGTTCACTATGCACTCTGAGATCATTGCTTAAAAGGTTTTTGTCTTTGCCAAGTGTTATTAAAAGGATCGGGTTACATAATGATAGGCAAAGACTGTGGTGTAGGACTCCCACAAATAGGAATGAAAGACCTTCTTATGAGACTTCGGGAAACCCTTATAATCTAATGGGCCACACTCCATAAAATTAAGCTGTTAATCTGTTTGACGTTCTCTGCAAGTATCATTAACAAATACAAAAGCAAGGGTGAAAAATCTAGTGGGTGTATTACATTTTGAATAATTAAAACTCATTCAAGCATACAGAAATAAGTTCCTGAAACAGGAACTTTACAAGTGGTACACACACAACTCCCTTCCATCACTGAGTTTCTACTTAGTGGTAGAGTTAGACCCAGGAACACAGGCAGGAATTAAACACTATTTGAAAAAAAACATGCTGATACTTCCAAAATAGCACTTTAAAAAGAATACTTGAAAATTCCAAATCCATCCATTCTTTGGCCCTCAAATATGAAAGCTCAAGCATGGCAGAGGAAGAGTATAAACTCATCTATAACACCTAGTTCATCTCATTCCAGCTCTGTGGGCACTAATCCTCAATTCACTTATTTCTAAATGGGATAAACAGTTCTTGGCTTGAAGAGTTTGAAAAGATTAAATGAGATTGAGGTTAGCAAAGTACTTGGTTTCAATAATAGGTAGTATTTTTTTTTAAGAGTGTGTATATATAATATTTAAAAATATGTGAGACCACCACATTTGTCAAGACATATCAGATTATGGTAAAGCCATAAAGAATACAAAGGAAAATATATGATTAAGATCCCACAGATTCTTCCCTTAAACTAAGGAATGTCATAGGTTTGATTAATTTATGAAATACCGTTTAGGGGAGCACTTCTGGCCCAACAGACACTCTCACCCCAGTTAGGTATTAGTAAGTCAGGTTATACACTCTGGATTTCCATGGCACAGTGTCAGTATATATTTGGATTAAAACTGACACATTTATGATAAAGAGATACAGACAGATACAAAGTGAGGCTTACCTCCAAATTTTACTCTGTGACTATTAGCTTAGAAAAACTTTAGGCTTCTACATTTAATAAAATTTCAAATGTATAACCACATTGTCAGATATATTTAAACTTCTAATATCTCTTAAAGTATCTTAGCTTTAACATATCAGAAAGAGAAAATAATGTACAAATACTAATTAGAAAAAAATATATAAACAAAATAATGTTAAAAATTTTTTTTTCTCTTCTAAAAGTAGAGGACGATTCTCCAAATCATAAAACAATCTGCTATACTTTTATGTTTTTGTTGAACACTTTAAGAGTTTATAATAACAGAGCTCAGCACATTTCTCTGTAAAAGGGCAAACAGTAAATACTTTAGTTTTGTGAGCTATATGATTTCAAAACTATTCAGTACAGTCACTGCAGTGTGAAAGAAGCCATGGACAGTATGTAAACAAATGAGTGCAGACTTTATTTAAAAACACTGAAACTTTTAATTATTATCCTATGTTATGAGATATTTCTGGATTTTTTAAAAACCATTAAAAAATATAGAAACCATTTTTATAGTTTATAGGCCTTTCACAAAAACAAGTGCCAGCCAGATTTGGTCCACGGGCTATAAGTTTGTCAACCCCTATAAGATCAATTAAAAATGGTTAAGTTTTACTGGTCTTTATAGGCTAGCTCAACACCTGAGACAACATCAAGGATTACAGTGTTTATGACAGACTTTATTCATGTCACATAGAAAAGCATGCAGTATTAATGTAAAACAGTACAGTATTAATGTAAAATGTTCAGTGCACATTAGATAAACAAGTCATTAGCATACAAACCATTTTTAAAGGCCTTTATAGACATACCAAACATGTTTAGAATAATACACGTTTTTAGAGCCTAAATTAAAAATTGTGCTTAGCTCACCTACTCTCACCCCCTCAACAGTCTTCATGAAAAAAAAAAATTTGTCCTACATAGAAGATATTAGCCAACTAAAACCTCTTTTTAAGTAAGAAAAATAGTGCAAGCAAGAATGCTACCATGCATACAGAGTTTCCTCAAAGAACAGTAACATGCAAACATTCATTATTCCCAAAAGAGCTTCCTTGGGACATAAGTAGATGAAGAACTTTGCAATGAGTGCTTTTGCAATACCTATCTGGAATAATGAAGCTACCATGTTTAGGTTCCTCCAAACATAACTATTCCTGCCCTCTGGCCAAAGTAGGCTCTATTTCTGATTCCCAAAACACACAGAAAGATGAGCAAGTGAATGCTACTTGACATATATATTTTCATATAGAAAATGTATTTTTTTCATATGAGCAAAAACATTTTCCAAAAACTGGACAAAACACAATGTTGAAAATGCAGTAAAATCTACAAACAAGTAAATGAATATTGGACTGTGGTCAGAGTGCTATTTCTCCATCATGGTCTTGCATACAAGTTAGGCCATCACAAAACATAAATAAAAAGGGACAGGCAAAATAACTTCCACCAAGGAAAAGCTTTAAAGAAACTCGTGTCTTATGAGCAGTGTGCAGACAACACTAGAAGTTAAGTTCTGAAGACAACTGAGGCTCATTAATAACCCACTGTATCCAACAGTTCAATCAAGACTCAAGAAAAAATACACTCAAACCAGATACATATAATATTCATGAAAAAGAAACCCTCTCCCTACTTTTTCTGGTCAAAAAGATCTCTAAATGAAACTGAAAAAGAACAAACTCTTCAAAATTAACAAAAGTATTCTGGGTACAGGCTAATCCACCCTCTGACTTGATACCTGACTAAAGACTATCAGTTCAAAATTGTGCAGAACTTTTATGAGGGTGGGAAAAAAGTAACTTTAAAAACATATTCCTCTTAGGACAAAAACATAAATGACATTTTTCTAATGAGTCAACTTTTAGTTGCTTTTGATGGACTGGCATTGGAAAGGCTGCTCTGGATTTTTCTTTTTGTTGATTGATTCACATTTTTATTCCTCTTTTCAGGCACAAAGGAAGTAGACCAAGGAGACTGAAGGTGGTTATGAAGACCATGCATCTCTGAGGACATCTTAAACAAAGATGACCCAAACCTTTGATCTTCAAATAGCTGGTGTGAACTGCTTAACAAAACACCCTGGGAAAACTCAGTCTGAAACAAACAGCTTGGGGGTTTGATTTCATTAGTTCCTGGGTTAGAACTGGGATGGAGCGAAAAATCTTCATTCATTTCCTGATCAGAAGGAGAGAGGAGAAAAAAAGAAGTGGGTTTCCATTCATTTCCATTTTCTAACTGATCAGTAGTTAGAGAACCTTTACGAAGGTTTGGTTTAGTTCTTTCTTCCAACTTATCTGGTTCCTCAAGAAATTCACAGCCTTGAGATGACTTTGATAATCCATCCAAATCCCCTGACTTAAAACCGTTATTACAAGGGCTTTTGCTGTTGTCTGATTCTGACATCATTGAATCCAACTCAGAGATCTTGTCAAGGTAAGCAGCATCCATTGATGCTTCACTGGATGTTCTTGTCCGATTCATTTCAAAAGAGCGAATAGAATTCAACCTCTTGGATAAACATGAGCCTGATTTCTCACTCAATTTTGAAGAAATTTCTCCAACAGAATTTGCTATTGTGTTCCCCTCTGAGCTTTCAAAATCCAAGCTTTCGGCATAGCTTGTGGAACAACAATCCCAAAACCCTGTCTTCGGGGAAGTAAAACATTCTGATTTCTTTTCATTTTCACTTCTATCATCTTCTGAAGAATCTTTATTACAAACATTTGGAGAATTGCAAAAATCATCAAACACCAATTTTCTGAGATGGTTTGAGTGCTTTTTGGAACCTCCTGCTTTGACTACAGAGTTCTCTCTATTTTCTGGAGTACTGAGCTGAAGGCAACTAAGGGACAAAGGAGTACAAGGAGCTGGGAGATCATAAAGTTCTTCATCTTTGTAGGGTACGCAATCACTTGGCTTACTACCCCATTCTCTTTCCAAGTAAGTATCCATACTTGTATCTGTCACATTTAACATTATTTCCATTTGTTTCTGATATAGGTCTGTGTTCTTAGAACAATTTGGTTCTGTTTTGCTGGTGCCTTCCTGCCTGGCAGAACTGCTAGAAGGCTTTGCCAGGTGAGAACTCGAGGTGGAAGAGCCAAGCTGCTTTCCAGCACTGTCACCTTGATTCTTTGATGTCATATCCTCCTGGCTGCCTTTGCTCCCCTTGCCCTCCGTAGAAAGGGCCCTCTGGCAAATGGAATTCATAGCTTCTTTCTCTTTACTTGAATTTTTTAGCTGTGCAATTTGAGATTCTAGTTCCTCTATATACTTATCACTTCGTTCCAGGGCTTTCTTGAGGCGATTGGTTTCACGTTCATACTGTTCTACTTTGGACTGAAGAGCAGCTACTGTAAACCTTCCAAACCTACATGGAATAGAAGGATAGTTAACCTTACGGTTCAAGCTTTTTTCTTTCTTTTTTCAAAGTTTAAGAGTGCAAACTGTCTCGGTCCATCCTAATTTCATGTGACAGTGACATTTCAGACTACTCAACAGGGTAAAAGCAATGCTAGATGTGGTATCTTCAAAAAAGGGTTTTGAATCACCTATGTCATAATGAGCATATAATAATAATGGCAAAGATCTAATATAATACTTTTGTGGTCAAATCAGACTAGTAGTTAGCACAGAGGCAGAACCTTGATGCTGATTTCCCTTCCAAGAGCTAGCTCTATCAGTTCTGCTCATATATGCATGAAGAGTTATCCCCTAAAACAATGGTAAAGATTTATGATAACATTTGAACAGTGGTTCACATGTTGAAATATTTACATTCAATCATTTTCCTATCATACAGCAGTGTTTTACAATACATTTCTTATACAATGTCACCTTGTCAAACATAAAATGCCAATTTGAAATTCAGAAATCTTAGCAGTCCCAGCAGGGGTGGTTTTAAATACTTATTTGGATCCTTTCAATTATAGCCACCCTTGACCTGAAGTTTTTACTTGGCCTTTCTGAACACTGGGCTTTAATTCATTTCAGCTGTACTTATTTTTGGCATTTTACAACTGTGTGGGAAATCTCATTTCTTCCAACTTTGAAATACAAAGTCAGAGCCAGTAGTTCCAACATACTACACAAAAAAACATTTTCACATTTTCTGAAAAGGAACATTTTGGAGTAACTGAAAAGGAAAACATCAAAAATTCACTCCTTTTACTTGGGATTATCTTGTTATCATTATTCTTTTAAGAACTGGGTACAGGATGCACCTCAGAAAACAATTTTGAGCTCCTAGCATGGGCTGATGGTATATGTGAAGCTGGAGGTACAAAGATCAGTGGAACTGTCCTTAGCTCCAAGGAACATACAATGTCTACTTTAAATTCTATGTGACCACCAAGGAAAAGTCTCTTTTAGTAAACTACTGCTTAAGAGCCAATAAACATAAGCCTTACATTCCAGCCTCACAAAAAATAACTTTTCTCCACAAAATTTCTTTAAAAAGAAAATTTTTTCTTTTCATCTTTACTTAATCATCTTCTTGATGACTAAGATATTTACTTAGTTGAAGAATTCAGTGATTGACTATTTGGAGGAAGGTACTTGACAAGGTGACTTCTACAGTTATTTTTATCTATGGATTTATTTTTTGCTTTCTGTTTTCTCTAATTATAAAAACAATCATAACTAAGAAAATATTCTAAGTATTAAAAAAAAACTATAAAAGAGAAAGAACCAATAATACTTGTACCTCTTGGATTCAACCAATGTTCTACGACTCCTACTTAATGCCCAATAACTCCTAAATTGTAGCCCAAATTGTTCTAGCTTACTCCAGGCATGATCCTGGCTCTTGCCACTAAGGGAAAAAAGCAGGGGCAAAGGTAAATATAGATTCATAAAACATCAAGGTTAGAGAGGGCCTTAAAAGACTTGTTACTGAATATTGATCTCCTCACTGCAATTAACTGAACTCTCAGAAAGAGTACACTCCCTTCAACCTCTAAAAAACAAAGCAAAGCCATAGGTATAACAAAAGAAAGCAACTACAATAACAAGCCTCCATGTTTTAAATACAAGGTCTACTGCTATGAGTATCTGGTTAAATGAATGTTGGAGTTTTTTCTTCCTTGTTAAAGAAAAATGTTTTGGTTTATAGATGTAATATTTGACAGAGCTGTAGTTTCTGTAAGAGATTTTTAAAAAGTAGGCCAAAATGTTTAAGTGCACTTAGCAAAAATGTAAGTTCTTGATTGTAATTACTCTGACATAATCAAATAATGCACATATTCTTAAATGGAAAAAATGAGTAGCATGTTTATTTAATACAAAAAGCAAAAGTGACATCCTCAAATATTCTTACCAATATAAAATTTGTTTTTTTCTTAAGTGTAATTTTTATAATAAAGGTATTCACAGATGAAAAAAATCAAATGATTTAAATCAAATACTGTTACTATATAGTAAGCCAGCTGTTACCAAACGATGTCCTTGGGAACTCAGGCTTAGTTAAGTAAAAACTAGTGGCAAGTAAGTAATGTTTCATAAAATATTAGCTGCTTCATTCCAGGTCTCAGCCTGGAATTTTAAACATAATGTCATGTTAGGATGCTATATTTGCCTTATTGTTTTTTAATTATGTTTTTTAAAGAAGTTAATAAACAGTTCTGAGTTGAAGTCAAACTGATAGGCCTAACTGTATTTTTTGGTATTACTGCAGAGAGAAAGCTGAGGTGCCATGAGAACTAACAACAAAGGCTGGCATGGGACCACGTGTGAGAGGGACATGCAAGCAGAAGTCAATGATGGAGCTGGCTGTTTTCTAAAAGGTCACTGCCCTCAATTCCCCAAAGTTCCATTTCAATACTTTACAAGTCTATAATACTTTGAGTGATCAGACCTTTTTACCATGCTAATAAGGGATCCGAGCTGGGGGGCAAACTAACAGAAATGTATAGTGAAAGCCATGGAACTGATCAATTAATTAATCAATCCATATAATTTGTTCTCTTTTTCTCTCAGAGTACAAGCTCTAAGAAGACAGGGAGTTTGAGTCTTGTAGATACTGCTAGTTACCTAGAATAATTCCGTGTATACAGCATAAATATTTCTTGATTAAACATTATTTTCTTACCTTAAAATACATCAATGCCTAACATCAAGACAGAGCCAACACCACAAGACAGCCAAGGTCTTTGGACCTCTTTTACATGTAAGTATTATAAGCAAATTTATAAACTAAATTATAAACTAATTATAGCAAATTTATAAACTAAATGTTTTATATATTTGTTTATTTTTTTCACTGACATGAATGAAAGCAACAGAATGATACAGACACAGTACAATTATTTTACTATAGGCTTGCTCTTCTATACTCCTCCGTCCATACACTTTCATCTTAGCAAAAGAAAGTAAATGAATGAAACTTCTGACATGGGTGTTAGGGATTTTTAGGTTACCTTAGATATGTATATTAAATTTGGCAAAGGTCAATTTACTTGATCATAACAGAAATAACAATTAGGGATGCATATCTGATATTATATCTCCATGGAAGAAGACACTAAGGATAAGAGCTTTTCAAACTTTTCAGTTTTAATACTCAAATTCACAGTAATTCCAGATATTTTCAGACTACATAACATTAAATGAATCGATGCCAAGGCAAGCCAGAGGGATTTCTAACATCATTTACCATACTTCCTTTTCCTGAGCAAATTTTAAAATGGAGTATTTTTATAAACATTCCATTAGAGACCAAAAGGCTTTGATTTTCAAAGTAGCAGTGATGGCCAAAGGCTTCATTAGGTCAGAGAGAATATCGTAAAGCAGTTTGGGAGCTGCAAGTGGTATCAGCAGTGTATTCTGCTAGAATCTAGGCGGGGCTTAAAGGTTTTTCAGCTTGCAATGTTAACTGATACACATTCTGGGTGAGGGCTACCCTTGTCCAAAACGCTAGAGCTGTAAGATTGCTCCTGTCCCTGCCAGAAGTAAGAGAAATCGAAGTCCTATTAGTTTGACCTTTGAGGTATTACAGTTAAGGGCATCTCTAACAATGAAAAGCTTTCAAGACACATGTTTTTATAGCCCACCACACAGGAGAAACAGGATATGTTTGAAGGGCGTCAGAATAAAGCAGATGTGACAAAAGAATAATGCCAGAACCAAGTATCAAGAGAACTTCTAGTGCTGTAATGCCATTAACTGGTTGTGAAAACTTGAGCAGTTTGTTTTGCCTCTAGTTCTCAACGGCTTCCCCAACAAAAGGGCAGCAAGCCCAGTGGATTGCTGAGACCACCAGACTTTAGAAACGTCTTCTTGAGGAACAAGGGCGATGCAGGAAAAGGGAGCCCACCTGCCTCCTGTGTCTTTGATTTTATATATTTTCCTTCCTGGTTAGCTGAGGTCACAGTGAAACCATGGGAAAGCAGTCTCTGAATCTGGACCAGCCTCTGTGATGTGGCTTATCTTGGTAGCTTTTCAGGGTTTATGTCTTTGCTGTACATGGTTCTGATGTACACAAATTTCAGTTTCCATTCAGTTTAAATAAACTAAACGTGGTTTAGTTCACTTAAACATGGTTCAAATTTACCACACTATGAGTAACTGAGTAACTTCATAGAGTAAAAAACTTCACTGCTAGCTTTTCAGTTCACAAAACACTATGTAGATAACAGATGTGCAAGATGATCAGTGAGCAATCAGGCCACTTCTTTCAAAGACTGAACATGGTCACTGTGCATTTGTTGCTCAGTTCCCACATAGACAGTAAAACGTGTACTTGCATTATCACATGATATTTTACAATAATGGACAATCAAATGGCAGAACTGGCCAAGAAAGATGAAGGTGCAGCAAAGAAATGAAAAGTGCTTAATGGTAGATGTGAAATTAGAATCAAGTGTAAAAGTTTACAGAGTAGCTGACCAGAGCAACACTGAAAACTGTCCCCATTCAAGAGACCCTAGATATGCCAGAGGAACTTTGTCTGGAGGGGCAAACATTGATATTAATGAGAAAAGCAGTTGTGACAAAAGGATAAAGATGTCTAAAGCAAGTGACAGGCTGGCACAAAACTTCCCATTAATGCAATATAGAGATATTTCATGACATTGAAAGAACAAAGGATAAAATATTGGAAGCTGATGCGAACAGTTCATCAAGGTGTTAGAGGAAACGCTAGCTTCATATCAGAAGTTACATAAGAAGGCAAGCACTATTTAGATTGTTCTCTACATTTTCCACAAAGAAATAAAACATTAATTCCCAATGTTTCTAATATTTTCAATTGTACTATGTAAATATTAGTGTACTAAATATTAGGTTTACTACTTTTTCATTTCCATCTATATTTATAAATGACAGTAAAAGACAATGTTTTGGCAAAAATTATTAAAAGTTATAGAACACTAG